TGGGGCAGTGAGGACCATAGAGCAGGAGGGGCCAGCAGGAGTGGCAGAATCAGTAAATACAGAGAGGACCCGCGAGGCCGAAAGGACACCGGAACCAGAACCACGACTGAGCGAGCCGGTTGCGCTAGACCAAACAGCCCCATCACAGCCAGCATCCTTGGAACACGAGCTAGAACCTGAACCCCGGACCAGGCAACACCCCAGGCCGCAACGCACACGTAGGCCGCCGGCGTACCTCAAGGACTATGAATGCGACCTCTTGGGCAGGACTGGAACTTAGAGAGGAGGAGTGTTATGTACTGAGTTGAATAGGATCCAAACTGCAGCAGTCTGATTTGTCCTAGAACAATAGGATCCAAAATGCAGCAGTCTGATTGGTCCTAGAACAATAGGATTCAGAATGAAGCAGTCTGATTGGTCCTAGAACAATGCAGCAGTATGATTGGTTGGCAGGAACCACCCAATCATGCTCCAGATATAAGTGAATCCACAACCTGATTGGCTTACAGTAGAATTCCAGAATTAGCCAATCATGTGCAGCCCATTGTGTAAATAATGTATATAAAGCAGATACTTTGAGGGGACATTCACTCATTCCTCCTCACCACTATGAGCTGAATAAAGAGCATGAAATCACTTTGCGACTCTGAGTATATTTCAACATTGTATGGAAAAAATACTTCATGTTACATGTGCAACAGGATACAACAACAGGCACAAGTTCTGGTGCATAAGCTACCCAGGCCTGTTCTTCCACTAAAGGATTAAAACATTGGCCTTTCATGGCAAAGCACTGTAGTTCACTGACAGAGCTCTGATTTGCATGCAGAAGGTCTTAAAGTTAGTCCCTGGCATCTCCAGGTAGGGTTAAGCTAGACAGACCAGTGAGTGTGCATAAGAGTGAGTTCTAGGCATGTATCAGTTCTGGAGCCTTGCTTTGGAACAGGCTGCATCTGAGGACAGGAAGATGCTTTCTACTGTGTCAGACCATTGGCCAATCCAACTCAGTGTCATTGAGACTGACACCAGCTCTCCATTGACATTCCCAGTCCTACCCGAGGACTGAATGGGTGACCTTCTGTCTGCAAAGCTTATTCTCTGCCACTGAGCTATGGTTCTCCAAGTGCTATTCTTCCCAGTCTTGTGTTCTCTTTCCCCTTTTAGCAGCACTGAGAATAGCAGAGGTGGTTAAAAAGTTAAAATGCCAGATTATAAATTAGTTAGAGGTAAAGGTAAAGGGACCCCTGACCATTAGGTCCAGTCATGGCCGACTCTGGGGTTGCGGCGCTCATCTCGCTTTATTGGCCGAGGGAGCCGTCGTACAGCTTCCGGGTCATGTGGCCAGCATGACTAAGCTGCTTCTGGCGAACCAGAGCAGCGCACAGAAACGCCGTTTACCTTCCCGCCGGAGCGATACCTATTTATCTACTTGCACTTTGATGTGCTTACGAACTGCTAGGGTGGCAGGAGCAGGGACTGAGCAACGGGAACTCACCCCGTCACAGGGATTCAAACCGCCGACCTTCTGATCGACAAGTCCTAGGCTCTGTGGTTAAACCCACAGCACCACTTGCATCCCTATAAATTAGTTAGGAAGAGCCAAATTAGTTGGAAGCACAGACAAGGGTTGGGGTGGGGATTAAAGACTATGTTGTGACTAAGATTATGATTACTTTGGTGGTCTGCACATAAGCAGCAATAATAATAATAATGATAATAATGATAATTTTATTATTTGTACCCTGACCATTGGACTGAGTTGCCCCAGCAGCTTCTAACAAATAGAAGCTGGAAGCTGGGGCAGCTTCCAGCAAATAGAAAGGCATGATAAAGCATCAAACATTAAAAACTTCCCTAAACAGGGCTGCCTTCAGATGTCTTCCAAAAGTCAAATAATGGTTTATCTGTTTGACATCTGATGGGAAGGCGTTCTGCAGGGTAGGAGCCACTACAGAGAAGGCTCTCTGCCTGGTTTCTGTAGCCTTACTTCACAATGAGGGAACCACCAGAAAGGCCTTGGAGCTGGACCTCAGTGTCTGGGCTGAACGATGAGGGTGAAGATTCTCGTTCATGTATACTGGGCTGAGTCCATTTAGGGCTTTAAAGGTCAGCACCAACACTTTGAATTGTGCTTGGAAACATGCTGGAAGCCACTGTAGATCCTTTAGGACCAGTGCTATATGGTCCCGTCAGCTGCTTCCAGACACCAGCCTAGCTCCTGCACTCTGGAGCTCCTCTCTTCATCTCGGAGGTGATGGAAGGAAGGGAGTGATTTGTCATCTCCATTGCATCTGTTGCTCTTTCTTATGCTAGCCTTCTCTTCAGCCAAGTTAAGGGAAGTAGCAGAGCAATTGCAGGCACTGCTGTCATGCCTCTGAACTTTATCACTTTCCTCCTACCAGATGGCACATTCCAGTGTTTCAAACTGGGGGCTTTTTCACAGACATGCCTACAGCCATGCTTGCCTGAAAACGACTGGAGGTCTTGATAGGAGCTTTGCCTTGTTCCTATGCCAACATCCTCTGCATTGATGGAGGCAGCTGCTTGCTGTGCCGAGATGGAAAGCTCTGGAAGCCCCTGGTGGGGCCAATTTTCACAAGCTGCGGAAGCTTGTCATTGTCAAACCCTGGTTGTGAGATTAAAAAATATAAGAAGCTGGAGGCCAGCATTATTAAGAGCAGGCTTCCTCAGTATCATTTTTGTACATCCAAGAATGGGGAAGTCAAGTCATGCTATAGCCCAAAGCTGGCACGTGTATGGAAATATATTTTCTCCTGTTCTGTTCACATGCATCAGGTCAGTGGCTCATCTAGTCTAGCATCCTGTTCTCACAGTAGCCAGCCACTGGAAAGCCTACAAGTGTAGCAGCGCTCTCTCCTCCTGCTGCTTCTAGAAACTGGTATTCAGAAATACACCACCTCCACTGGTAGAGGTAGATCATATTCATCAGCGTTAGGGATGCTGTGGTTATATCCATTTTTTAACAAGGTTAAAAATGAAACAAAAATGCAGCACCAATTTGAAACTACAGATACATGCCCCAAACAGGTTTCTGAATAATTATTATACATATTATACATACATACATACATACATACGAAAATTTGTTGTACAAGAAAACTAACTGGGGAAGGGCCATAGCTCAGTGGTACAGCATCTGTTTTGTGTATAGAGCTCCTAGGTTCAGTCCTGATATTTCCAAGTAATATTAAGAGTGTCCCATCTGAAACCCCAGGAAGTTGCTGCCTGTCCATGCAGACAGTGCTAAAATGGATCAGACTTAAAATGAGGTAGTCCACTATGTTCCTAAATGACACAGTATGTGTGCAATAGTCTCACCTTTTCAACAAAAGCCCAGCATCATATATAATAGCAAGATGGGCAGCACTTTAAAAGGGGCATGATGTTCACTCATACCTGGTTATGAACTACTATTGTTAAATATTTGGTAATTCGTAATCCTACCCTCCATGCCCTGATCTTGCATAATCCCATACTTATCTGTTTGCTCCACCAAGCAAGCTGGCCACTGAATTCTGCAGCAGCTGAAGTTTCTGAACCATCATCAGAGGCAGCCCCACATGTGACACATCACAGTAATCTAACCTAGTGGTTACCAGTGCATAGACAACTGAAGTTAGGCTGTCCCTGTCCAGATAGAGGCACAGCTGGCCAACTGTCCAAAGCTGATAGAAGACACTCCACATGGAGCCTCTAGCAATAGCAATGGATCCAGAAGAAGCCTCTTGCTGCATACCCACTCCTTCAAAGTGAACGTAACCCCATAAAGAGCAGGCAACCTTCCATCCATCCAGTCTAGGGAACCACCCACTAGCAGTGCCTTAGTCTTATTTGGATTGAGCTTCAGTTTATTGGCTCTCATTCAGTCCATTACTGAGGCAAGACAACAAATGGTCCAGCACATCCAATGCCTCACCCACAGATATACAGGGTAAGTAGAGCTGTATGTCATCAGCATATACTCCAGATGATTCCTCTCAGTGGCTTCATGTAAATGTTAAAAAGCATGGGAGATAAAATCAAATCCTACATGGGACTGAAGAGCACTCCCCAAGCATCACCCTCTGGAAATGACAATCCAAGTAGGACCAGAACCACTGCAAAGCGGTGCCACCCAGCCCCAGCTCCTGAAGGTCATGATAATCAATGGTATCAAAAGTTGCTGAGAGGCCGAGGACAATTAACAGGGACACATCTCCCCAGCCTCTCTCTTAAAAGAAGTCATGCAGGGTGACCAAAGCAGTTTCTGTGCCAAAACTGTGCCGAAAACCTGATGGTTTGCTGGTTTTTATTTTGGTTAAAGACCCCCCCCCCGGTCTCTCTAGATACAGACTCAGCCTAATTTGTCTCCCTACCATTCCCATTAGTAAGATATAAAATTATCCATTTGGTTCTCTGTGTTAAATTGCCTTACATGTTCACCCCCTCTCTTCCCGTCCCCAGTTTTGGCTGTTTCTTAATTAGATTTTAAGCTGCCTCCTGCCCACCCAATACTTTATAATTCTACTATACCTTTCTAACATCCTGCTTTGTACAACCTTCTCTTTTCCTCCCCACTGTCATATCCTACTAGGCACCATCTTGATGAATAAATTATCAGGATTGTTCTACAAGAAATCTGTCGTGTGTTATGTGACCTCTTTGAAGTCTGAGATTTAGTCATGAATCCCATATTAGTGCTAAATGAGCTGTTCTGGTGCCAAGACATTGTGCCAGAAGCTCCTTCTGATCACGCGGCATCCCCCTCCCCAACGTGTCTTTCAATTCATCATTTTTAGGACATCATGAGCAAAGCTGCAGATACCAAAATAAAGAGAAAGAGATCGAAGATTCGAATCACCCTAGGTTTGAAACCACATCCAACCTGCTATTCTTCATTATTTGTACAGTAGCATCAATCTGGAGCCGGTTCCCAGTTCCCAGGAGCTTATAATTAAAAATTTGACACAAGAGAGGAAGATGTGGGTGAGAGGAAGGGGGAAGGGCTATAGCTCATTGGTAGAGCATCTACTTTGTGGGCAGAAGGTGCTGGGTTCAATCCTTGGCATCTTCAAGCAGGGCTTGAAAATACTCCTACCTGAAACCTTGGAGAGCCACTGCCAATCATTGTGGACAATACTCAGTTGGATAGACCAGTATACAGTGGTACCTTGGGTTACAGACGCTTCAGGTTACAGACGCTTCAGGTTACAGACGCTTCAGGTTACAGACTCTGCTAACCCAGAAATAGTACCTCGGGTTAAGAACTTTGCTTCAGGATGAGAACAGAAATTGTGCGGTGGTGGCGCATTGGCAGAGGGAGGCCCCATTAGCTAAAGTGGTGCTTCAGGTTAAGAACAGTTTCAGGTTAAGAACGGACCACCGGAACGAATTAAGTTCTTAACCCAAGGTACCACTGTACTTAGCCTGAAAGCCTGATAATAGCTCTGTGGCAGGGCTTTACCCGGGGTGCAAGGGGTGTGGGGCACCCAGGCACTGAATTCTGGGGGACACCAGGCGCCTGCCGCTGAAGCCGTCTAAGCTCTTAACTATTTACCTGTTATGAAATAATAACTAATTTTGATCAAGCTAGAAAAACAAAATACATATATACCTAGGTATTACTGAAATGTATACCTACAGTTTCACTAAAGGACTTTCAACTTTGTGCGCTCATTTACCAAAGGAGCGCTGCACTAGTGGCGGTGCTTGTCAGACTCAACGATGGCGCTTGTCATTCACAACGGTGCTGTGCACATGAAATTAACTCTTACATCAAAATATTATGTTACGTATTGTATTGAGCTGCTATGCGGCAGTGGACTCAGCGGCACCTTTGACACGACTGATGTTTCTCCTAAGTAGGTGCCTAAACAATACTTATAAGTTTAAGTGTGGTGGTGTTGTATACTTAAGTATAAGTGTATTGCAAATAAATGAGCAAATAAAAAAGTTTGCTTCTTTTTCCTCCCTTCTTTCGTAAACAAGACATAAGGCGTAAGCATGCTGTCTGACATAAGCCTAATAAAAGTTAATTTGGGGGCTAAACTATATTTGGGGGTGCTGGGCGGATCTTTGCACCCCGGCAGTGCATATGCTAAAGACAGTGCTGCTCTGTGGTTCAGTAACTGCTCTGAATGTAGAAGGCATCTCCAGGTAGGGCTTGAAAGGACCCCTGCTGGAACCCTGAAAGAGTCACCCTCAATCCCTGGCATTTACAGGCAGGTCTGGGAGAAAATCCTATTTGAAACACTGGGGCATATAAAGCAGTCCTTTATTTTTGTTGCTAGAGTGAATAGGTGGATCATGTGTGTACATTTCACATTCATTTATTTAAGGGCAAGCTTTAATGCTTCACCCCCCCCCCACTAATATATGGATGTTTATGCATTGTTTACCACAGCATATGCATTTGTTTTGCACACATTACTTGGCTGCAGAACTGCATTGTAAAATTTAGAGAAGTGCAATGCACATTTTGAAGGATGGCTGTCTTTCAATACGTGTATTGCTTCTAAAAATGTGTATTAGGTAACTTCACCTTGAAATGCAAGCTGAATTGAATTTCTTCCCCAGCCCTAATCCCACTGCATATCTGCAGCCATGCTATACCTTCTGAGTAGGTGTGTGTGTTTGTTAAAATGGTGGCATCACAGACACAACCGCTACCCCAGGAGTCCAAATCATTCCAGAATGTTATTTACTTATTTCGCCTTCAAGTATCTGAAAAGAAATCTGCTCACCACTTTGAAGAAGCTCGTTATCATTTTATATAATCATCATCATCATCATCATCATCATCTTACATGGAATCACAGAATTGTAGAATTGGAAGGGATCCCAAGGGCCATCTAGTCCAACCCCCTGTAATGCAGGAATCTCTCACCTAACATGGGGCTCATATCCACAACCCTGAGATTGAGTGTCTTAAGCTCTACTGACTGAGCTAAAGAATATACAGTCATACCTCGGGTTACAGACGATTCAGGTTGCGGTTTTTCGGGTTACGGACCGCCGAAACCCGGAAGTACCGGAACGGGTTACTTCCAGATTTCGGCGGTCACGCATGCGCAGAAGCACTAAATTGCGCTTTGTTCATGTGTAGAAGTGCCAAATCACAACCCGCACATGTGCAGACGCAGCGCTGCGGGTTGCGAATGTGCATCCCGCATGGATCACATTCGCAACCCGAGCACCCACTGTAGTTTTGCTTGTTTGAATGGTTTTTTAATTACCCCCCCCCCCCCCCGTGTTTGGTGGTTCTCATTTTTTTTAATGAAAGCCACTTTGAGTCCTGTTATGGAAAAAGGTGGAGCAATAATACTAATAATATTAACAACAACAACACTCGTTATTCTATGAAAACTTAGGGGAATGTTTGACAAAGACTCATGAGATACTGACCCAATTCAAAGAGAAAACTCACTCACAATTTTACATCGGTTACAATGTTAGGTTGATGGTGCTTAGGGACAACAAACTCAAAGCCATAGCTCAGTGGCAAAGCATCTGTTTTACATGCAAAAGGTCTAAGGTTCAATCCTTGGCACCTCTAGGTAGGGCTGGGGAAGATTCCTTGTTTGAAACCCTGGAGAGCCACTGCCAGTCAATGTGGAAAACATTAAGCTAGATTGATAAGTATTCTCAGTATAAAGGCAGCTTCCTCTACTCCCATTTCTGTAAACTGTTCTGCTATTTTCTGAATGTAGAGTGGTTTATAAATCCTGAAACAAACAAATAATCTAAAATAATGAAAGAGCTGGGAAAAAAGGAATCACTTGTGCGCACGTGCACAGAACTGTTCTTAAAGAAAGATGGAAGACAAAAGACAAGTCATGTCCCCAGGCTGCATTCACATGGCAGTTTATTCCCTTTTCTGTTTTTCATTTACAGTGGTGCCATGCAAGACGAAATTAATCCGTTCTGCGAGTGTCTTCGTCTAGCGGTTTTTTCGTCTTGTGAAGCAACCCTATTAGCGGCTTAGCGGATTAGCGCTATTAGCGGTTTAGCGGCTATTAAAGGCTTAGCGGCTTAGCTGCTAAAAGGCTATTAGCGGCTTAGCGGCTTAGAAAAAGGGGGAGAAAACCGAAAAAAAATCTCAAGACTCGCAAGACATTTTCGTCTTGCAAAGCAAGCCCATAGGGAAATTCGTCCTGCGAAGCGCATCGAAAAATGGAAAACCCTTTCGTCTAGCGGGTTTTCCGTCTTGTGAGGCATTCGTCTTGCAGGGCACCACTGTATTCCACTTTTTCCTACTTCCTGTTTTCACCATTTTCCATTTTCACATGGCAGTTTATTCTGTTTCCCCAGCATTCCCCTAACTTAGACTAAAGCAGTTGGTTTCCACATTATATTTGAGCTTTCGCCTGATGTAAAAGCCACTTCCAGAAATATAGCGGAATATAGCTGGCTTCACTTCCATGTTATTATTCCATGAAAATTGTTTCTTTTCCTGGAAGCAAATAACATGGAAATGAGTATTAAACTTGTGCTACATAACACAACATTTCTGGAAGTGGCTTTTACATCAGGTTAAAGCTCAAATGTAATGTGGGAATTAATAGTTAGGAATATAGAAGACACTGTCATGTGAACGCAGCCCCCGTTGTCTTGAGATGTAGCTTTCTAGCATGCATCTTCGTTGATATGTTGGGCAGGCTGCAAAATTAGCTGTGTGTCAATGGAATTTCATCTGTGGTGCTGAATAGGGGAGGGGGAAAAAAAGAGAAACCAATTCTGCCTTCACCTCAGCGGGAGCCTGACACCCTGCTCCAGACTATTTGGCTGAATACAAGGATTTCTTTTCATTTCTCTTTCCTCTATTAGCTACAGCTTTCCAATAGATTGGTGCCTGGTGAGTACCCCACCAAGCTCTGCTGCAAAATAGGGCAAGATCTAATCAAGGGAGAGACACTTAAGGGATGTGGGGAACCAAGGCTGGAATTATATGGGCTAAGGTAAAAATATTTTCCCCTCACAGTGGACTCATGCTTGAGTTAAATCTCTTGCTTTGTACAAGGGGCAAAAAATTCTGATGCATCTCCCTTCTCCCAAATGGAGCAGCAAGGATGTTATGGATGAAAATACCTGTCTAGCTATCACCTTCAGGAAGTGCCTTTCTGATTGCTTAGGAGAAATCCCCACTGAACTGTATTTTGTGCTTCTACCTTTTGCTTGTATGCTTGTTCCATATTATCATCATCACCAACCACACATCTATTTGATTTATTAGTCGCTTGACGCATAAGGAGTCTTCAAGCGCCTTACAAAGTTTTAAGAGCATAAAGCAGGGGGGGGTGAAGGAGCCTTTTTCGATCTGTGGGTCAGATCCTTATCAGAATCTTAGTCAGGGTTAAATTACATTGTTATTCATAGCCAGTAGTCATTACAATATATACATAAAACACATATCTGTGAAATACAGAAGGGAAGAATTATCAGTCCAATAAGACCGGGATCAACCCCAAGAATATAAATAGACAAATAGACTTCAATAGTGTAAGATTTTGGCCTATTTCTTCCTGGGGGGGGGGTGTCTGCAGCTTGTGTAAGAGAAATTCCCAGTTCTTTATAACTCTGTATTGTGAGAACCATCCCCGGACTAGATTTGGGTTACTTTGTCCCGTCCGTATATTTGAGGGCTTTGTTTGAAAGAAACTCGGAGCGTTGTAATTAGCCTCAAATAGTTTTAGATAACCTCAAGGAGTTTTGGATGGCTTCAGCAGGATTTCAAAGGGGCTTTAGAAGAGCTTCAAAGGAAGGGAGGATGTTTAAAGTGTCATCCGGCGACTTCCGGAGTCCTTATCTGGCTGGGGTATAAGCTTGTTTTCCGGGAGTGTATCTTTTCCCCTTATTACTTTTTTAAGAGTTCCTACTCACTCTGCTGAGGCTCACAGGAGACTTGCTTCAGGTGCCATCTTCTAACCGGAAGTCAGTAACTCAATAGGCTTCAAAGTACAATGCACAGTTGATCCACCAGGTTCTGGCTCTATCAGCTGATAGGAGACAGAGGCAAAGCCTGCTTTCTGCAGGCACCAGGTGTTCAAGGGAGTTCCCCACCCCATAATCCAGACTTGCAAGCCCAACTTGAACCCCTGGTGAGTTTTGTTTGGTTCATGGACTAGAAGCCCGCTTTTCCCTGCCAATCCTCAACAAGGAGCACACTTTAAGGCTAGTTGTACACTGAGAGCTGCCATATAGATGCACCATATAGATAATGTCAAATATTAGGTGTGAGGCAGGTGGGTGTGTATTGGGGAAAACAGCCAAGTTTGGCCTACAGGCCTTTGATTCCTTACAGTGGCCATAAAGCATGACATAAAATCAGAAAAAAGAACACAGCATTGCTTATAATCATCACCTATTAAAAACAAACAAACAAACAAACAGAAACAAACCCCAATAAAACAGCAGCAAAATTTTCAGCCGCAAAAACACACCCTCAGTAGAAAACAGGATTATCACAATCTATCAAATGCTTGGGAGAAGAGATATATTTTCCCTTGGTACAGAGAAGATGTTAATGATGGTGTCAGGAAGACCCCACTGGGGAAAGTATTCTATAAGTAAAGAATCACAACTTTAGACTTCTCTCCCATCCTTATTTCAGAAGACCAGGCCTAATGGCAACATCAGACGGAACACCCAGAGGGCACGGGGGATGGAGAATTCTAGGTGAAGGAACTGCTAAATCCAAAGCCTGCTGGGGCAGAAGTTGGCGATTGGGCATTACTAATTTTGGGGGTCTAGTCTTTCTCCCTCTCCATGTTTTCCTAATGGGAGGGAAAATCAGTATGCCAGGTACAAGTCTGGTGTATTCTCCCATCCTAAAGGAAGCTGCCTTATACCATGTTAAACTACTGGTTTATCTAGCTCAGTATTATGTACACTGACTGAGAATGGCTCTCTAGAGTTTCAGACAGGGGACAAATATACCTGATTATGCTGCGGATTAAACCTGTGACTTTCTACATGCAAAGCAAATCATCTTCTACTGAGCCAAGGATGCTCCCCATTTTGGGGACATGGGGAAATGGGTGGGTTTTGGACTCAGCAGAACCAACACCTCCCCCAATCCACCCAAGCATGCCTGTCTCCCACCCTACTACTGTCAGTTCACCAATAAGTAAGGACAACTGCAGAGGTTTCTGCAGGTGCGATCTCTGAGCAATTATGGTTTTCAGTGGTTCTACCACTGATTCTAGGTTAGTTTCCTTTGAGTGACATCACTGGAGACTGCTTATGCTTTTTGTATGTAATGTTTTATCATGTTCACTCTTTAGAGTGCCATGTCTGAGTATTCCTCCCCCCTCCACCAGTGCTTTCCACGTGAAAGCTGTCTATTTTGTTGTTTCTTCAGCTTCTAAATAGTAATATTGTGTACAATAATATAGAAATGTGGTATACAAATTAAAAGTGAAATGAAAACCTAGTCTTTAGTGCTAAATAGGAGCAAACAGCAATCCATGAAAAACCTGAATTGCCATTTGTTCTGATTCAATGTTAAAGAGCATGTTTTCATGGGGAAAGTGGCAAGGCAAAAAAAAGAGAAAATGCTCAGGCATGGGGCTTTAAAACATGGACTTGTTCTCTTTCACAGAGAGTGACTATTTGATGACATCACATCTTGCCAAGGGAAGGGTGGGAGGAAGATACACTATCTTCCAGAAGAATCTTCAATCACAAATCACTTATACTTGGCCATGTCTTTATTATGTGAAGGTCTGTCTGCCCAGCAAAAGGGAATCTGCTTGCTATCTCCATTTGTTGCATTTTTTTTACCATCAGTCACCGAATTGGATGGGGATAATTGATAGACCATTCTAACCCCACCCCACCATCTCATTACAATACCCAATGGTCCCATGTCTGTCATAAGAAGGAATCCAGTACCCAAAAGTAAATAAATCCATACCAATACACTTCCTTGTCCACTTTACTTTTTTCTCTCTAAAACAGGTTCTTCCCCTTCCACCCTACTCACTAAATTAATGTGAATCAGTAATATCAGTAAAAGATATGTAAACAAACTTGTTGCAAGCAAACTTGTTTACCTTCCCCACAAATACATTTCATTCTGGAGGGTTAGAGAACTAACACAACCAGTTTAACAGAAAACCTTGCAGCAATTAAACTTTAGAGCACAGTGTTGGCCAAAGTGAACCCACACTTTACTCTCCTAGGATTCTTGCCTTTTCATTTAGTGCATGAAAGCAAACCTCAAAATGATGTACTTTGCCTCTCTCCCTGAATGAAACCATCATAGTAAGGGAAAAACCATTTCCCACTCTTCCCAGAAGGGTACAGTGTGTGTCACCAATTATACATGTGTCATTAATCACAGAACAAGCACTTCTACAGTTAAAAACCTCCAAGCCACAGAACACTGGGAGAGGACTTGCAGGGAGAAACCAGAGGTTAGTGGGGGCGACTGAGGATCAAATTCAGTACCAGAAATGTTTTCATGTGCAAAGTCTAGGCTCAGATTTACTGAACCACCTGTACCAGCACACGATTCTTTTTCTTATATGGGTACAGGCTGCAGCAGAACATTTATGCTTTATTTAATTTACTGAAACATTTTTATGCTGCCTTCCCATCAGACCATCCTCTGGGAAGACTATGGCATCTGTAGCCAGGTTCTCCAGTCTTCCACATGTGCCCACCTTGGGGGTGCCCATGCTGGATGCCTGCTGAGCTGTGCTATACCTTTGTCCCTGGCTCTCTGCCTAGGTTGAAATTGGCTGCAATGCGACCTGAGCACAAACCAGCAAGTAGGTGCTAGAAAAAAAGGGCAGCTGGTGTGAGAGTTGGGTGAGATGATGACACTTCCAGATTGCTGCCTAGAAAATTGCAGCCACAGAAAGCCAGAAAACTGGAAGAGGCTTCAGCTATAGGATAGGAAGATTGCACAAGCCTAGAGGCTCTATTCTGGACCACATTGAGACTGGTGACATAGCTAGAAACATAGGGGCTGTCTTATATTAAATCAAGTGGTCCATTTGGCTCAGCACTCTCTGCACTGACTTTGGTGGGTCTCAGATAGGTTTTCAGATAGTGGTCTCTCCCAACCATTCCTGGAGATGCTGGAAATTGAATCTGGGATCTTCTGCATACAAAGCAGATGCTCCACCACTGAACCACAGCTCATCCCCAGGTTGCCAGCAACCTGGGAGCATGCTAGCAGTCAAGGTAGCTCCAAGATCTGCAGCATAAAGTCTGTCAGACCCAGGAAAGCCAAGGACTGAATAAATCTCACTACGGATGATCACTTTGGAGTAGTCATTTCCTTTGGAGGACTACTGTGACTTCAATCAAGAAGAGCTTGGTTTTGCTGTCACCCACTTTGATCTGTCATTGTAACAAGTAGGACTGGTCTGTTGGAACTCACCATGGTTGGCTGGGATGCTGCATACTTTCTTCAACTCCAGGAAACCTCAGCAGGAGGTTCTGCTTGCGGGGAATATTTTGGGACTGTGGAGATGCCCATTAATAAAACAATTTTAACAGCAATGAAAAAATAGCCCCCCTGCTCTCTGACACACCTATCAACCAAACAGATCAGTAAAACCAGCACTGAGTTACCTCACTGGTTACCACACTTATTTGAAAACTACATGTGTGACCTGCAACAAAATCTTTCAGTCTGGAGTGTTTGTCTTCAGGACACTCCCTTTTCATCTCCCCAATTTTCTTTCCCCACTGCCATCAACAGCCAGCATTTGGTGGCCCTCCACATGTTCAGTCTTCATTAAGTAGTTTTTGTAGTCACTCCATAAGATTATTTTCTTTCTTTCTTTGGTACTTCTGAAAATAATTATTATTTATAGCCTATATAGACCATACATATTTCTATATATTTAGTTCAAAATTAAATATTAGTTTCAAGCAGGCAATGAAAGTTTCTAAATATAAAAGGTGGGGCTGAAAATCTGAGTGAAAATTACATTTCTGAAAATCTCTAATCTACTGAGTCCTATTTTGCACTGTCACCAAAAAACATATCCTTAAAATGCAAATTCTGCTGGGATGCTGCTTGTGTCATAAGGTTGGGTCAAGAAACAAAATCAATGAATCTGAGAGAATGAGAGATAATGTATGGGATTGCCTTGTAGGAGAGGTTAAGCACAAAAGGGGAATTTTGATTTGACAAACATTCTTATATAATACCAATCAATGCTTTGTTTGTAAGAAATGACTTCATTCTGTGGGTTAATGAGATTGACAATTGGCCATGCTTAAATAGTATTAAGGTAATGCATTGAAATATCTCAGGTTTACAACCCAAAATTGATCATTTCAGCTATTTTAAGTACAAAGGATCAATACCATCAGCTCCCCCATCCTTAAGTGCTAATAAATGCTTTAAACCACAACAACCATGGATTCCATTTGACAATTAAATTAAACACAGAATTAAATTCCTTACATACACTGCAGAAGGCTATTTGGGATAAACTCAATAACTACCCTCAATTATCAAAGTCATTGGATTCCTAACAATCAAAATATTGGCATAGACATCTCTGCATGGGCTCACTCTGGTTGCAAGACAGAAATGCTAATAAGATGAAGAATGAGTCAGGGTATTCAAAATTGGGCTTCAAATTTCAGAAGTTTGATGACCTAGAGCAGGGATGTCCAACAGGTCGATCGCGATCTACTGGTTGATCCCCAGGAGGTTTTGGTAGATTGTGGTCGATTGCTGGGTCCCTTTCCTTAGTGTTGATAAAATAGAATCCAGCCCTGCCTCCTCACCCCACCCTCCATTGTTGCACTATTTGCAGAATGGAAGATGGAGTTTACTCAGTGAGGCTGTTGGTGAGTTGTTGTTCCCCCTTTCCCCTTGAGCTTAGGCTTGAATTCTCAAAAATTGGGGCTTTCCTCCTCCCTCAAAAAAGCTCAACAAGTTTGACCTGACCCCCCAAAAAGGGGGTAGCTCACTGTCAGTTTCTAATTCTGTAAGTAGATTGCGGTCTCTTGGGAGTTGGCAACCCCTGGCCTAGAGGATGGACCAGGTCAATAGGATGAAGGCATAACACTCTTGGATTATAAGAAGAGCTCTGCTGGATCCATGCAAAGGCCCCTATCCAGTCCAGTATTCTCTGTCCTACAATGGCCAACCATTGTACTTCTGAAACATGTGCATAGCATATAGACATCATGATTAGAAGCTATCAGTGGAAAGCTATCAGTTTTATTCTCTTTTCAAACAATCTTAACAGTGCAATCCAAACCCAAAATATGTTGGGATGAGAAAATTTAGATTCATTGGATCCTGGGCTTACCTGGCTGAGCCAGGGTTCCATACTGTCCAACTTTTTCCAATGCAAAATGTTGTTGGGGACTATGTGTTTTTGGGTACCATGAGAGATCACAACCCCCAAAAAGAACTTTTGTCAGGGTGAGTGCACAGTGCGAGCACGAAAAGGTGGGGTGTCCCTTTTTTCCCTGGGCACTTGGAAGGTATAGGGTTCAGCTGGCATAAATCCCTCACTCCAGCTCAACTGGGGCTCATGCAAAACTTACATCAGCATAAGTCCCCTCTGCAAAGGAGTGTTTTGAGGGGAGTGGTGAGGGTGAGATGGGGCAAGGAGGTACTTACACCTATTTCAAACCCCATTCAGCTCAGTCATGTGACCTATGACCCAATCCTCAAAACAATCACCCACAATCACCTGCTGGCTCAGACAGGAGTAGCCCTACCCAGAGACTCCTAAGCAGCATTTAGAATGGGGAAACTTACATTGGTGTGAGGTACTTCCGCTTTCTTTAGTTAGGATTGCTACGTTAGTTGGAGGTCATAGCTTTTGGGATCTGGTGGTAACTTTCCTGATCTGTGGTATATTTTCTAGCCGAGTTTCTATTACTGTGGTTTTTCAGGAATTCCCTAAGCTTTGCCTTTTAACTTCCATTTTACTAAACTTCTCATTTCTGAGAAGTTGCATTTTTCATTTGATAGCACTGTGACCACTGATCCAACAACATGCCTCACACCAGGTCTTGGGCAACACTTCAGGCCGAGTCCATCCCCCCGGATTGGTTCCTTGGTCAACTGTCTTCAGGCAGAGCACTCTAGACATTTGTTGAAACTGGAGCATGCATTTATTGAACATATTTGAAGGTAACTAACACCAGCCATTTTACTTTTTATTATTTTTTTAAAAAATAATATTTATTAGTAGTTTTCAGAATTATAAGAAGAAGAAGAAAACATTAAAAAACACTATAATAGACAAAAAAAAGAAAAAACACAAAAACCAATACAATACAACAAAAAGATAAAAAGAAAAAAGAAAAAAACACAAATCCCAAATTACATATCTAAAACTTCCATTTGCTTGTTTCATTGACTTCCTCACACCTCCCTTTTTGTATTCTAGTTTAATTAGTTATTTCAGCAAATTCTTTCCATCTTTCTCAATTTTTGTTAAAAAATTTATCCTAACCTAATTTAATCTAATAATTAACTCAACCAATCCTTTCCATCTTTCCCTGTATTCTATTATTCACATTACCTTAATTAATTTAACCTTATCTTACCCTAAAACACCTTAAAGCCTGAATCTTAGTTATCAAATATACATTACTCCTGATATCATTTCTGCTAAAGTCATATAGTTTCATTCCAACATTTTCCCTAATATTCATTGATTTTTAGCCAATTCCCCAAATAGAAAATTTTCTTTATAAATTTTCTTCCAATTTTCATCCAACGTCCCTTCTTCCTGGTCTCGGATCGTGTCAGTCCTTACCGTCCATTCCATCTAGTCCATCAACCTGGAAGCCTTATGTCCGAGGCCCTTAAGTCTCTTCCATGTCCCTTCTGCAATTCTTCTTCTTCTTGTTTATACTTGCCCTTTTCCTTGTCTTTTGTTGGTCTCTTTCTTAGTTTATTTCCTTTCTCATTGAGGGGTAGGCCTCTGGGGGATTCCAAGCCAAAATTGTCTCCATTTCCCTTCATCAAACCCGCCCATTCCCCACAGTCCCACTCCCCACAATCCTCAATATAGTCCAAAAAGTATTTAAAAACATATTCCAAGGTCTCTCCAACGTTGGGAACCTCCTCAACTCCAGACGCCCCCTGGCCCACCCCAACTTCAATCTTCAATGACAGCGGCTCATACTCCTGTAGGGCCTCGGGACTCTCCATTTGTATTATTTGGGGTGCAACCGCATCCTCCTCCATTATCTTCTGCACTTGCCCAGTCAGTACAGATTCATGAGTTGGTCCCTGGATAATTTCTGTACCAATATTCCCTGTTTGCCCAGTTATTAACTGCAACAGTCAAATCCATTTTCTCATTCATCAAGTCCATCTTCTCATGCATCTGTTCCAGCAGGGCACTTGTCTTGCATAAGGCAAGCACCCATTCTTCTTTCCAACTCATCTTTAGTCAAGGTCAGAAAAGCCTGTTCCCACGGTCTTAATCTCACATCTGTTGAGCCCTCAAATGTACTGCAGCAACAATTTGACAAGCTCCCTCTAGAGGAGGCAATTTCTATTTGTATCCATTTTTTTTTTAGGCAAGTCCAACAAAGGAAAATTACTTTCGTTTTTCAGATATTTTTCAGATATTTTGTTTCTTTAAAATGCAAAAGGCAACATTGGAGTCAGCTTGTTTCTCTTCTTTAGCTATCTGTCAAAATATTCCATTGACAGTCAATGAACCTCTCCAACAATTTCTGTCTCTGACACCCCGTTCCCAGGTTAGAGACGGTGGAAACTTATCCTTCTTCACTCCCTCTCCTGCTAGGGTTCCCCCCCTTTCTCCTGCTTCCAAGGGGGCTTCAGTAATTCTAAATGAAGGAAATTTAGACTTTTTTGACAGCTTTCCAGGCTTTAGCTTACAAAGTTTTTGCTTTAGTCTATATACAAAAAGCGGAAGGCAGACTTCCTGTTTTGAACCTTCCCGCTTCGTTGCCAAATTAAGAAATTTCTTCATCCAATTTTCCGTTTCTACTCACGGGTACTTGTTTTAAATCCAATTGTCCACAGGAAAAAGCCAGCGCTCTCCGGCAATGGCTGTGCGGCTTCACTCTGTGAAAGTAGCAGTCAGTTCGCAGCACCGCGCTTCTCACCCCACTTCGCTCCGGAGCCTCTAAATGGGATTCTCTGCGAGTAGGGGGGCGCTCATGGTGCCCTGCCGAACCC